CTGCGTTTGGATTGGAGTGTGTGTGTGATTGACCCCCTAAAGCGAGCGGACTGCGTTTGGATTGGAGTGTGTGTGTGATTGACCCCCTAAAGCGAGCGGACTGCGTTTGGATTGGAGTGTGTTTGTTACTGACCCCCTAAAGCGAGCGGACTGCGTTTGGATTGGAGTGTGTGTGTGATTGACCCCCTAAAGCGAGCGGACTGCGTTTGGATTGGAGTGTGTTTGTTACTGACCCCCTAAAGCGAGCGGACTGCGTTTGGATTGGAGTGTGTGTGTGATTGACCCCCTAAAGCGAGCGGACTGCGTTTGGATTGGAGTGTGTTTGTTACTGACCCCCTAAAGCGAGCGGACTGCGTTTGGATTGGAGTGTGTGTGTGATTGACCCCCTAAAGCGAGCGGACTGCGTTTGGATTGGAGTGTGTTTGTTACTGACCCCCTAAAGCGAGCGGACTGCGTTTGGATTGGAGTGTGTTTGTTACTGACCCCCTAAAGCGAGCGGACTGCGTTTGGATTGGAGTGTGTGTGTGATTGACCCCCTAAAGCGAGCGGACTGCGTTTGGATTGGAGTGTGTGTGTGATTGACCCCCTAAAGCGAGCGGACTGCGTTTGGATTGGAGTGTGTTTGTGATTGACCCCCTAAAGCGAGCGGACTGCGTTTGGACTGGAGTGTGTGTTTGTTACTGACCCCCTAAAGCGAGCGGACTGCGTTTGGATTGGAGTGTGTTTGTGATTGACCCCCTAAAGCGAGCGGACTGCGTTTGGATTGGTGTGTGTTTGTTACTGACCCCTAAAGCGAGCGGACTGCGTTTGGATTGGAGTGTGTGTTTGTTACTGACCCCCTAAAGCGAGCGGACTGCGTTTGGACTGGAGTGTGTGTTTGTTACTGACCCCCTAAAGCGAGCGGACTGCGTTTGGATTGGAGTGTGTGTGTGATTGACCCCCTAAAGCGAGCGGACTGCGTTTGGATTGGAGTGTGTGTGTGATTGACCCCCTAAAGCGAGCGGACTGCGTTTGGATTGGAGTGTGTTTGTTACTGACCCCCTAAAGCGAGCGGACTGCGTTTGGACTGGAGTGTGTGTTTGTTACTGACCCCCTAAAGCGAGCGGACTGCGTTTGGATTGGAGTGTGTGTTTGTTACTGACCCCTAAAGCGAGCGGACTGCGTTTGGATTGGAGTGTGTGTTTGTTACTGACCCCCTAAAGCGAGCGGACTGCGTTTGGATTGGAGTGTGTTGTGATTGACCCCCTAAAGCGAGCGGACTGCGTTTGGACTGGAGTGTGTGTTTGTTACTGACCCCCTAAAGCGAGCGGACTGCGTTTGGATTGGAGTGTGTGTGTGATTGACCCCCTAAAGCGAGCGGACTGCGTTTGGATTGGAGTGTGTGTTTGTTACTGACCCCCTAAAGCGAGCGGACTGCGTTTGGATGGGAGTGTGTTTGTTACTGACCCCCTAAAGCGAGCGGACTGCGTTTGGATATGAGTGTGTGTGTGATTGACCCCCTAAAGCGAGCGGACTGCGTTTGGATTGGAGTGTGTTTGTTACTGACCCCCTAAAGCGAGCGGACTGCGTTTGGATTGGAGTGTGTGTGTGATTGACCCCCTAAAGCGATCGGACTGCGTTTGGATTGGAGTGTGTTTGTTACTGACCCCCTAAAGCGAGCGGACTGCGTTTGGATTGGAGTGTGTGTGTGATTGACCCCCTAAAGCGATCGGACTGCGTTTGGATTGGAGTGTGTTTGTTACTGACCCCCTAAAGCGAGCGGACTGCGTTTGGATTGGAGTGTGTGTGTGATTGACCCCCTAAAGCGAGCGGACTGCGTTTGGATTGGAGTGTGTGTGTGATTGACCCCTAAAGCGAGCGGACTGCGTTTGGATTGGAGTGTGTGTGTGATTGACCCCCTAAAGCGATCGGACTGCGTTTGGATTGGAGTGTGTTTGTTACTGACCCCCTAAAGCGAGCGGACTGCGTTTGGATTGGAGTGTGTTTGTGATTGACCCCCTAAAGCGAGCGGACTGCGTTTGGATTGGAGTGTGTGTGTGATTGACCCCCTAAAGCGAGCGGACTGCGTTTGGATTGGAGTGTGTGTGTGATTGACCCCTAAAGCGAGCGGACTGCGTTTGGATTGGAGTGTGTGTGTGATTGACCCCCTAAAGCGATCGGACTGCGTTTGGATTGGAGTGTGTGTGTGATTGACCCCCTAAAGCGAGCGGACTGCGTTTGGATCAGTGATGCGCGGGTTGATCCGAAATGAGCGGGTGCCTGCGGTCACCCGCGGTTACCCGCAGTTACGGGTCATCCAAAAATGTTTTTAATGATATTCGGGTCGTGGTCGGTCGGGTCGTTTGAAAAAAGATGCCAATTAAACATTTGTATTAGTACTAGACACAATTTTTGATGAAATATACAGCCCTACACATTATTGGCTGAATAACTGGCACGAAGATAACACACAAGCTCAGTCTAAACAGTTCTCGGTTCTATACTAGTGATTCGAGAACCACTGTCCCTGTGCGTTCGGTAGTACGCAGTATCAGCTGCTCGTGCTCATCACTTCTCTCAACAGTGGCACCAACATGTCTCGGTTCAGTGAACTGTTGGAGTTACTGGAGTAAAATAGAATTCAGGATATTGATTTATTTTGATTCGGAGGCGACTGTCAGGCATGTCTGAAAGTAAGTAACTAACTTGTGGATCAGCACTGACGCAAGACGCGAACTGTTTCGAACGATTCAGTTCGATTTAGTGTAGGTTCAACCGGTTCACTAAAAAGAACCGGTTCAAAAGAACGATTCGTTCACGAACCGGCCATGTCTAATGATCACTACAGTCTGCAGAGATGGAGGCGGCAAGAGAAAAAGGTGAAGACTGGGGAGTGGAAGCTCCGCAAATACACAAATAGAAAGAGTAAAAGCGTGGGAGACATTTGCTGAAACAATGAAAGATGATGACCAAAGTGCTGGCTTTGCCTTTGTTATGTGTAGGCCTACGTCTTCTTGCGATGCTGTGTTGTTACACGTCTATGGCCCAGTAACGCTCCGATGAGCATTTACTACTTTTAAAAAATGCGGTCAGGAAGCGGGTCGGGTACAATATTTTTTTACTTTTTTTTGCGGTCCGAGTTGCGGGCGGGTAGTTGAAAACGTCGGTCGGTTGCGGTTTGTTTATACATTGACCCGCGCATCACTGGTTTGGATTGGAGTGTGTGTGTGATTGACCCCCTAAAGCGAGCGGACTGCGTTTGGATTGGAGTGTGTGTGTGATTGACCCCCTAAAGCGAGTGGACTGCATTTGGATTGGAGTGTGTGTGTGATTGACCCCCTAAAGCGAGCGGACTGCGTTTGGATTGGAGTGTGTGTGTGATTGACCCCCTAAAGCGAGCTGTTTCTCCAAGCGCTGCCTGTCAGAGATGCAATAGCATGATAAATGTGTGGTTTCTCAGTCAGCCTCACGTGAGTTATGGATGTTTATTTGGGAGCGTTTGCTGAAGGATCTTCTGTTTGTTGATTGGAATTTTTCGAGTTACTCTCCCTCACTCCCGCTCTGCCGTGTCCTGCCACAGTTCGCTCACACATGGCTGTAAAAGGGCAGACCCGGAGAGAGAGAGAACTGCCATCTGGTAGTTCTTAAAACCTCTGGAATGCTTTTGCTTTAGTAACACAACTAAACAAGCCATTCCTGCCAAGCCATGAAGCCCCTCCCCAACACACACTCACTCTCCGTCACACTCGTTTCCTCCAGGACTGTGGAAAATTCAGGTCCGCCTGCCATAATACTTGAAGTAGTGGAGAATTGAAGTGCAAGAATTTCAACAAAAAGTCAAAACTGTTGGCTATTTTTAAAATGTGCTTTATTATGTAAGCTAAATTGATACTTGTATGTGTTGGAGTCCTCTTCTCAAGGTCTCTTTAGACATCTGATGCCACTGTCTGAGGCCCTGGGATTTGATACGGAACACAGAATTGCGGAATCCATAAAAATGGAATTTGCTGTTTGATGCGGAATGCATAGAATTTTGGATGGACAAATAAAAAGTAAAGCTGCACACTTAATCATACTTGATCACATCATGATATATTATAGTGTCTGTGAATATTAAAGCACAAAAATACTGCTATTAAATATGAGTTTTGTATGTTCAGTATAATTAAAATTAAATAAACATTTAAAAGTCTATCACACAGTTGTTCTTCCATGTTTTGATTTGAACAGTAAACATATGCTTTGTAGCACTTAATTTAGTTTCAATTAAAATATATATATTTTCATAAATGTTTCATTAAAAGATGAATTAAAATGTAAATTCTTTATGGCTTAATATTATTAACACCAGTTTTGATGATATATCTTGTTAAATCATAAATCCAGAAAAAATAAACAGTCAATACAGAATTTCTGAAAAAATTTCTTAGGGCCTTATTTTTGGAAAAAGTAAATTAATGCATTTTATGAATTCATTAGACATGCTTTTTTTTTATTAATGCATTTAAATTTAAAAATAAACAATTAAAACAGAATCCAGAAAATAAAAATAAAACCGAAGACACAAATTTTGGAAAAATAAAACTGATAACTTTTAATTTAAATTAATTATTGTTAAATTGTGCATGTTGAATGATTTCAATTAATTATGCATGCCTTTTCATGACCATAGTCATTTGACCATTAAAACGTAACAACAAAATAAAACATTATATAAATAAAAATTGTAAAACAGAATTTGTGATCAGTCAAATGGGTTTCGTAGATGAAGCATGACATCATGTATACGGTGAATTATCAGCAATTGAAATCATTCCCTATTCTATTCATTCAGACATGCTGTAATTCAGGCTGGTTTGCATTTAGACTTGTTGAAACGTATTATTCCTTGTTTCCATGTTTTCCATTTCTGTCTCTTGCGTTTATCCGTGTGAAATGGCCTTCGGAGTCTGAGACTCTGTGTGCGTTAGGTGGGGTATTGTGATGTTCACTTTTAATTCCAACGCGTTCCTCTTCTGCAGACATCCGGCACCCCGAGGAGCTGTCCTTACTGCGCAAACCCCGCGACCCCAAGAAGAAGAAGAAGAAGCTGGAGGAGGCGGAGGAGGAGGCGCTGGAGCTGGAGGGACCTCTGCTCACCCCAGGATCAGGTACAGCAACCCCATCCTCGTGTGTCCTGGCCCAAACACACCTGAGCACGTCAATGCAGGAACCCAAGGGCTAAATAAAGATTCAATCTCGCAGGGCCGTTCTTTGTGAACTCAATAATGGTTCGCTTTTTTTATCAAAAAAGCATCCCTATGAAATTTGAAATCAACAGCAATTTATTAAAAGTTTAACAATTTATATTATAGAATTATAGAATTTCAATTTTATAATCAAAAAGCATGTCTAATCAATTGAATTTGTTACTTTGTTTTACAACAATGAAATGCCTTAATTTGGTTACAAGCATTTAAAAATAAAATAAATTTGAATTTAATCCATACATCCAGAAAAATGTAAATGTGTAACAGAATTTCAGAAAAAAAATAGAATAATGATATATTTATAATATGACACGAGCAAGGTCTAAATAAAGATTCAATCTCAAAGGGCCGTGTGGAAAACGTGTTCTGTGTGAACTGCATAATGGTTCATTTTTTATCAAAAAGCATCGCTATGAAATTTGAAATCAACAGCAATTTATTAAAAGTTGAACAAAAATTTCAGATTTTTTTTTCAAATGTTCCCAAAATCTGTTTTATTTTTCCAAACGTCTGTTTTCCTTTATTTTTCTGGATTCTGTAAATTTCAGAAATTTCATGTCTAATCAATTGAATTTGTTACTTTTTTTCACAACAATGAAATGCCTTAATTTGGTTACGAGCATTTAAAAATAAGATGAATTTGAATTTAATCCATACATCCAGAAAAATGTAAATGTGTAACAGAATTTCAGAAAAATAATAGAATTATGATTTCCACAATGAATTTTCAAAGGGCCGTGTGCAAATGTGAAATGTGTTACGGGCTCCCTAAAAAAGCATTGAAAACAACAATCATAAGTGGCCAAGCAACTCAACCTAAATGAATTTTATAGAGTTTGACATTAGAATAATAGTAATAGCACTCCTCTCTTCAACAAGCCACACAACTCTAGTACATATCCGGTTGCATGCTAAAGTTAGTTCGAATCGCAGACCCATAATCCGCGTAATGCAGAGTGATGTTTGACTGGAGATGTTTGCAGCGTGGACGGGGTTTGCTGGTCTGGAACCCGTGACGCTCTATAATGTGTGTGGTTGAAGAGCGGGAACACAAAAGGCTGGTTGTGTTGAAACAGTGCTGGGATGAGGAGTGTGTGGGTTGAGAGGAGTGTATCATTTGCAGGCCTGCAGCTCTCGCTCTGAATGGTTTAGATTCCACACATATTTGGTCACTCTGCCATTTTGAAAGCGCGCAGTCAGATGCATCCCCACACATGATGTGTGTAAATCCATTTAAGATGCACAGAGGACAGACATGAATAGGCTCTATTGTCCCGGTGCAGTGCATCCCCCATGCAAACTCAAGACGCCTGTGTCTAGGATCTGTCCTCCACTTGTCTCCTCAATACCACCATGTGACCTTACGATGACCCTCGTTAAACTAGTGCAGGAGTGCTGGATTTAGGGGCTTTAAAGACTGGGTTTCTCTAGTGGTGCCACAATATATCGCAATGTGTCGTGGATAATATATCGAAATATCACAAATGTATATATCTCGAAATGCATATCGCAACGGCTTGCAATAACGGGTCATGAACTAAAGACGAAGAGAGAATCACTCGCTGCTCTCGGCCGAATAGCTTCTGTAGCTTTAATAAGAATCAGGATATATTTAACCCTCATGTTAAATATGTAATTTACTCATGACAATGACATGGGGGTGAGTAAATTATCCGCAAAAGTCTTTTCAAAAGTGAACTACTACTTTAATATGATCGCAAAACCTGTAATATGTCAAATTTCACCATGTGGTGGGTTTTCCCAGATGTTTTGGAGTATCGAAATAATATCGAATCTTGACATGAGGGTCGTAGTTTTTGCTGCGCAAAGGCTCTTTTGAAACGGGAGGCATTCTGGGCCATGGCGAGTAATGAGCCGAAGACCCGCTCTCAGAGTGTTAGGGGAATGCAGAGACAACAGGAACCCAAGAGCAGATCAATTTGAGAAAGGATTTATTGTCCAAAAGGTTGAATGAAAACAAAACAAAACAAAACATAAAATAAAAGGTAGACGAGGTACCAAGCAAGAGGGCGAGACAAAGGCAAAATCCACTAGACAGGCTGGGGTCAAAACCAGTAGCGGGCCAACAGTACCAAGGGAGAAGCCCAGGCAATAGGAGGATCTTTGTTGACATCATTGTACGCATGCACGAGTCGCTGGGTGGCAAGAAAACATTAGAATGACCGGCTGTAAAGACGCGACAAGCACTTTCAAGAGAGTTAGTTGGCAAAAGCCACAATATATAAGCACTTTAATATCTGACGACCGGAGGAGGTTTGGAGAGAAGCTCAAAATTTGTATTGGTGACAAAATTGAGGTTATTCAAAGCCCACATGTGATTTGGGATGTCAAAAAAACGTCGGTCCGACTCGCCCGTGTCTTGGCCACTATAATCTGCTGGAGAGACATTTATTCTTATTTAATAGAAAAGTGATTTCTGAAGGATCATGTGACTCTGAAGACTTGGGTAATGATGTTGGAAATGAATAATAAATTGCATCTGAAAACCTATTACATCAGTTATTTTAAATTGTAATAATATTTCATAACGTTACAGTGTTTACTGTATTTTTGATCAAAATAAACGCAGCCACAGTAGACATTTTCTTTCTTTTCTTTTGCTGTTTTCTTCTTGAAACGGATGTTACATCTATTCTAAGGTCTTGTCTCACTTTGCATGTTAACACTTTCCTTTCCTCCAAGCTGTTAATCTCTTTAATATTTCCTTTCATTCGCCTTCTTTTTCTCTTTGTTGTTTTCTTTTCTACATTTCCTCCCATTCCTCAAGCCTCTGAGATACTATACATTGGACCGGTAAAAGGTAAGGTCCCTGTTTTCCTGATTTCCCGCATTGCTTCCTTCACCTCAGCTGGAGACGTCACATGACCACTGCAGGAATCCCTGGCTCTGGTCACATGACTCTCTGCTTCAGTGACCCCTCAGCTGACGAGGGTCATGAGATGAGCTTTTGCCCAACAGTGCATTCCCTTGCATTCGCTTATCAGTTCACAGTTTGGTCTCACTTTGTCCTAAAATCTATATAAAATTAGAGATAAAAGAATGAAAGGTCAAGTTAAGGAGCCACACTAAACGGTTGGGATGTTCAGGTCAGGATTTTTCAGCAAACATCATTTTATTTTATTTTTTAACCCCAGCCAATACTCATATGAGTCAGGCTGCGAATGTAAGTTATGTGCCCGCCCCAGCGCGCTCACACTAATAAACGCCTCACCTCAGGCGCCGCGCAATCGCTACTTTCCCAGCACTAGTGGATGCATAACGCAAACCCAGTCAAACGTGTGACTGCGGTATCTTATACGCCTCATAATCCGGTGCGCCCTATATATGAAAAATGTTCTAAAATATGTCATTCATTGAAGGTGCGCCTTATAATCCGGTGCGTCTTAAAGTGCGGAAAATACGGTAATTTCACACGGTAAAGCCACTTAAAGGAGTAGTTGACTTTTCAAAAACCTTTTGCTGATAATTTACTCACCCCCATGTCATCCAAGATGTCCATGTCTTTCTTTCTTCAGTCGAAAAGAAATGAAGGTTTTTGATGAAAACATTCCAGGATTTTCTCCATGTAATGGACTTCAATGGGAACCAAACGGTTCAAGGTCCAAATGAGAGTTTCAGTGCAAACTGTTCAAAGGGCTTTAAATGATTCCAGAAGATGAATAAGGGTCTTATCAAGCGAAACGATCGCTCATTAAATAAATAAATAACAAAGTTTAAGTTTTATAAGCTCAAATGCTCGCCTTGCTCTGTTCTGTGATGCGCATTTGTGACTCTCCTGTTCGAACTCGTTCATCAAAATGAACGAATCTTTTTCCAAGTCAATTCGTTCATTTCGTTCGTTGATTGAACCGAATGACTCGAAAAAAAGATTCGTTCATTTTGATGAATGAGTTCGAACAGGAGAGTCACAAATGCGCATAAAACTTAAACTTTGTTATTTATTTATTAAGAAGTCCATTATATGGAGAAAAATCCTGGAATGTTTTCATCAAAAACCTTAATTTCTTTTCGACTGAAGAAAGAAAGACATGGACATCTTGGATGACATGGGGGTGAGTAAATTATCAGCAAAAGTTTTTTGAAATGTGAACTACTCCTTTAATATAAAGTGGGACCCAAAAAAAGTGGTAAAGTCAAATGATAGGAAAGTTGTAAAGTCAAATTGATAGTAAAATAAAGGATGGATCACGCATTTATAATGCAAATAAAAGCAAAAAAACACTCAGTATGCAAATAAGATGCCCACATTATACACACTATGAGCATGCAAAATATCTATGGACACTGCAATGGTCATAATGATGTCACACTGTGGCATCTCTAAATAAATCAAGAAAAAAAAACATAATTTAACATATAATTAATGCAAAATTGTTAAATATAAGTGATCTACTTTACTGCCACACTGCAGATCTTTAAAGCTTTCATTCTTTTAATCCTGCTGAGAGGTCATGTCGATCTTGACCAAACTTGAACTATGGAAAGCAAGGAAATTTGCATGAGCTTGTGTTTCCGGTCTCCCACGTCGGCATGTGTGTGTGTGTGAACGTCAGTGGGATAAACGTGCAGTGGCTCTTACGGCTGAGATGAACTGGTTTCATTGGTGCCGAATCTCCAACGCCACAGAAAAATAATTCATTTTTTTGTAGTTGTGACATGAAAATCCAATGAAAAATTGGCAAAATGCTTTTTAATATTTTTTCATACTGTGGACTGCACACAAACACAAGCTAGCAGTGTAGTCTAATTCACAAGCAAACTCTTATTTGATGAATTAAAAGATTTAGATTTAGATTCCATCTGACGAACACACAGTTTTAATAAACCATATTTTATCTTAAAATTCTTTAAGCATAAAGTTTATGAAAACAACAACAAGGCTGAAATTGCCCATGAAACCAAATATATTCTATAATTAATTTCAGGAAAAATATGAAGAACTAACAATTAGTGTTGTCAAAAAACTCGGTACTTTGGTACCAAGTCGGTACTAAAAAAAAAAAAATGTTACGGTACCAGCTTTTCTAGGTACCGAGTACCAGGTTAATCCAGTTCTAGACGCGCTGTCTGAAAGGTGCACAGTTGCGTCCTCTTCATAACGCTGATATGTCTCTCTCTCTCTGAATCCACTTGTTGACACGAAAGGAGGAAAGAGCCACATATGGAAATATTTTATATAAGAGGTATAAGAGAAATATAAGAGGCCGATTACATGCAAATTCGCAATTTCAAATATAGGCGCGAGGCAAGCGCGCTCATAATAAAAACTCGTTGCATAGCAACAACAGACGCCGCGTGAGAGCAAGCGCTTTGGAAAGAATAAGCACGCGCAAAAATATAATAAAAAAAACGCGCGATATGTGAATGGCCTCTAAAGTGCTTTCGGGGTAGTTTTACGAGTACATGAGCACAGTAGTATCCACCCGACACCAGAGTACTGGTATTAGTATCGACGCATCCCTATTTATGTCATTTAATGTCAGTGCCAGTTCTAGGCGTATTCTTGCCTTCATAACTCAGCAGGTTTAAAAAGCCTTTTTAAAATTAAATATGAATGCAGTTTTAGATTAAATAAAAGTACAGTCAAGTCAAATAAAACATGTTTTATCTCCTGTATAGTTTGGTAATGCTACAATAAGATACCATTCATCAACATTACTTAGTTCACATCAACACATTGAGTGAACGATATATTTTTACAACATTAATTAATGTTTGTAAATGTTATTTAATACAAACTCTTGGTGGTTCATGTTTGTTCTCTTCATTCATTGTGCATTAAATAAATGTTAACGGATTAAAACTTTACAAACAACTTTAAAAATGTGTTAGTGCATACTATTGTTTATTTTTGGTCATTTTATCTAATCTTTTTCTAAAGTGTTTATAATGCAAATGTACCGTTTCCATACTTGTAACCGTGATAAACACTTAGATATATGTAAATTTAAACTAAGCTTTGATACCGAAATTGGTACCGAGAACCGTGAATTTTTACTGGTATTGGTACCGAATACTGAAATTTTGGTACCGTGACAACACTACTAACAATAATAATAATAATATGACTTTCTAAGACAATGCCTTGCAAACACTGTAATCATGCCATATGAGCGAGTGAACACTATTCAAATGTGGCTACAGACATGACTGTGAGCTAAAGCATGCGTGTGTTTGTGGACTGGGAGTTTTTGAGCATTCCTAAACAGTGTGTGGAGTCGAGTAAACATCCTCACGCTGCTGATGCTCCGGCTTCCTCCGTCCCGATGGGAGTGAAAGCCTCCAGTGACCTCCAGTTTCTGAGCCTTCCTCACGTCTCTTTCTTTTCTCACGACCTCCAGCTCTCCACGGTGGCTCTGCCTCCACGCTTCTGTGATTGGTCACTCGAGTGTAGTGTAACTTTTCTGATTTATGAGCATGCACAGGTTTAAAAAGTTGAGGAATGATGGCATCTTCCCATACAATCATATCTTTGCACAGCTAGTTTATGTCTGCGTCGCATTATTGCTCACACATAACCGGATTTTAGTGATAAAGTCTAAGGTGTTTCGCGTGGGCTGCCTGTAGTTTAAAAAGATTTATGTGGAATCTTTAATTTGCTAAATTCACATTTCTTTTAACATGACGCAACTTGTTGATAATTCTGCTTCACAAAAAGTACAAGTGTTCACTTTTTCCGTAAATTAGCAGTTTATTAGGCCTTTCTCCATCAGTTGTTAGTTCAAATTATTAAATGTGTTATTTTTTCCTCAGCTTTATTATTCCTAGTGTTTACAAACCATTTTCTTGCCTGTTTAATGCTCATAAACTTTGATTATACATAAACTACACTCAAAAAAAACAAAAACATTTTTGTTGGCTAAACAAAAACTAAAAACTAAAAAATTAAGTGTTCATAACTTTTCCAATATTTGAGTTCACGCAACATTCTTTACTTAAAAATATATGCATCACATTGCATAAACTCAAATATTTAAGTACATTTAACAAAGGTTTTCTCGTTAATTGTAAGTAAAATTATTCCAAGTTGAGATTACTTAAAGTGTGATGCAAATATATATTTTAAGTAAATCCAACACATCATGTTTTAGAGTGTAATAACAATCTCACAACTATTGAACAATAATCTACACAGCTTCATTAATTGCAACTCCTTCAGCTGTGATTATATTCACAAACACCTCTGTGCGATTATACAAGGTTAAATAACATAATACGCATATATTAGGACACTTGCACTCATTAAAGCGTTGTTTTGTTAATCTCGAGCTCAGCGTTTTAGCCGTAGCCATCTAAATGAAGGTTACAGTTGGTCTCTGTGTGCTTATACACATTTAGCATCCAGAAGTCTCTATGTAATAACCAACTGAGCCTGTTGAGATTGAGGATGGGGTAAGTTGCTCCAGTTGTCCTGTAGGCCTTGACTGGAGTGTTTAAAGAAGGATGAGCACTGATGTACTGAACCTGTGATGGATTGGTGCAGTGAGACCCATCTGAATGCTTCGTAGAGATGTCAGTCACCCCTCATGCTGCTGGTTGTGCACTCGCAAAGTTTAATTCTGTGTTTTACTGTGTTCTGCATGCTGCCTTGATCAGACATGTACAGTTATGTGAATGATTGTGTGAACATCAGTTTTATTGCATTTTTCAGTTGGATTTGGTTACACGTATCCGGATAAGAGTGGGCGGTATGACACACTGAGTCTGAAATTGTTTCGTACTCATCGTTTGATGGCTCTGAATAGTCAAAACACCTCTCGAAATGCTTGCTACGGATGCAGGAAACGCAGAAAATCTCGATCCAAATTTTTTAATGACGGAGGAAAGTTTCTGAGGCAGCGTGTAAACGTGATTGACATGAGGGCACAGAAACGTGAGGTCTGAATTTTTTATTTATTTTTATTTTTTTTCAGACGTGAATTTCGGACTCAGTGTGCAATGACCTTCAGTCTTAAATAATGATTGTGACAACGAAAAATTCAACCCAATTCAAATGTTTTGTTTTATAACAATGTAAAAATGTTAACTTAATCATCAATTTAATATTATAATCTGCAATTCTTTTATCTTTTTATTCAAAATAAAATGGAGGCAAACCAAAAAATATTGTATTTTTCAGTTTAGAAACATTATATAGGACACACAAAATGGCAATATGTAGCAAATATATGCTCTCTATCGAGCCTTTTTATACATAAATGGACTTTTTTCACAGACTGTGATGATGCATTTCCTCAGTTATCCTAAATTGACTTTTTTCTATATTTTTTTTTTCTTTTTTTAACGTATTACTTGAAATTGCATTAAATTACAGAAAACTAGTAAACACTGCGGTATTGTTTTTAATAAAATGGCATGATGGCAAATTTAACATCTTTCTCTTTTCAAACCAAAGTAATCAATCTCTCAGTGTTTTTCCTGTTTCTTAAAATCATAGACATTGTGGATTTTTTAGTTTGCCATATATTTTTTGTAGTTTCTTAAAAAAGTTTACACACAACTATGATAACTTTCCCTTCTGAGACCCCCGGACATGTGAAGGGTCAAACTGCAACTGCTTGAAGAGCACAAATAACCAACATTTACATCATGTTTATAAAACTAAATCGTACTCTACTGGTTGACACATTGCATAATGTGTGTGTGTGTATAATTATTTTGTTTATATAATATACAATATACATGTATATATTTAAAAAAAAAAATCTTTTTAAGATATAAATCTTTTTATTTATATATAATATAATGCAAATATTTTTATTTTTTATAATAAAATACTTGCATATATATACACACACACACACATACAGGTGAAACTCAAAAATTTGAATATCGTGCATTCGTGCAAATGTACTCAAAGTGCACAAATATCTCATGCAAAGTGAGATATTTCAAGCCTTTAGTTTGTTATAATTTTGACGATTAAACAAAGACACAGCTATTTCATAAGCTGTAAGCCATAATCATCAAAATGATAACAAATAAAGGCTTGAAATATCTCACTTTGGATGTAACAAGTCTATATAATATATTAGTTTCACCTTTTAAGTTCAATTACTTTTGCACGATATTGTAATTTTTCGAGTTTCACCTGTATGTTATGTGAAGACAAACTTTTATTTTGGATGTGATTAATGGTTTCAACTATATGTGATTCTGCCCAGTCTCCATCTGGCTATCATGAGAACGGTGTGCCGCCTGTTGTAGGCGTTTACTAATGGTCGTGTTTAATTTCAGGGAGCATCTATTCTAGTCCCGGACTTTACAGCAAGACCATGACGCCCACCTATGACTCTCGGGACGGCAGCCCTCTGTCCCCCACCACGGCCTGGTTTGGAGACAGCCCCCTGTCCGAAGGCAATCCCAGCATCCTCGCTGTCAGCCAGCCCATCACCTCACCAGACATTCTGATCAAGATGTACAAACCACAGTCCCTCCTGGACAAGGCCAAGATCAACCAGGGGTACGTTGGGCAGATCTGATCTGTGAAGGTTCGAAGGGATCGTTCATGGGCTAATTGTCATTTTTGGGTGAACTATCCCTTTATTTTGTGTTCCTCTGACTGTGTTTGTGAAGGTGGCTGGACTCCTCCAGATCACTGATGGAACAAGATGTGAAGGAGAATGAGGTTCTTCTGCTCCGGTTCAAGTATCACAGCTTCTTTGACCTCAACCCAAAGGTCAGTGTGTTCTGTGTTTGAACACTCAACATTGTTATCATGCTTATTTCAGTGCCAGTGACACACAACACCGACTGTCTTATTGCTTATTAATGATGCAGTAGATGTTTGTGGGAAGCCATTCAAGTAAAAGCTTTTAATTAGCTTTATCATTATTACGATTGCTTGTTATTTGAACAGACCTCTTACAGTCAATTGTGCTCCAGACATGAATGGTTCCTCAAATCAGAGTTACCATGAGATTATACTTAAATGTCTGGTTCACCCAAAAATTAAAATCCATTGAAAAGTCATCATTTATTCATCTTCATGTCGTTTTAAACTCATAAGACTTTCGTTCATCTTCGTAACACAAATGAACATATTTTTAATGAGATCTGAGAGATTTCTGTCCCTCCAATGGAAGTCCATTCACCCAAAACATTCATAAAGAGATGATAAACCCATATGAATTGAGTGCTTCAGAAGAGACATGATCATTTTACATGATGAACAGGTTTGATTTAGGCTTTATTCACACACATGGCCTAAAATTCCCTCACATAGTGCCCTATTTAAAGTTTTTTGGCTTTTAGTATAAATACAGTATTGGTACGTTCTATTATACCCAACGAACCGACTCTGACCTCGGATGTGACGTCACGTCCGCACTTCAAACGTTCTATTATGTTTTGCGTGTCCGAATCGGAGAAAGCTGTTGTCATGGTAGCGCTGGCCGAGTACCAGGCACTTACATTTAAAAAAAAAATATTATGACTACACCTTATCAAAACGCAGCCATTTGAACTTGAAAATGTTCACTTTATTTAATGTTTTTCATGTTAATCTTTTGTTAGCAACGCTAGTAATTGCACACAACAACCGATTCCCATACCCACAGGGAACGCAGTAATACGAGTGATTATAATCGTCATTTAAAATACCAAAGCGGTTCAAAAACTCAAGTCACTGGGCGCAGCCATCTTGAATTCCGAAACGTATTTCTTGCTCGGTGTCCTCACGGTTGCCCGACGTCCGAGAGGAGAAATCCGAGGAAAGGGGGCGTGTTGCTAGGCAACGTCTGTCGTCCGATTCGGATCTCCGAGACGGATGAATAAAAGAACGCACCATATGTTCCAAAACAATGACAAAATTTGCATTTAGAAGACCAAACCCAACGTTGAAAATCAGGGTTGATGTCAGAATCCAATGTCAGATTTACGTTTTTCTCCAACGTTGGACAGACGGGATGAAAATCGGGTTGAAAACCAACATAAGTCGGGTTCTGACGTCAACCTGACTTTAATTCCTAACCAGAATCCTCCCCTAGTGACTGACGTTACTACTTTCTACTCAGGGACCTTGGCAGAAATGTAGAGTAAAAAGTATGATATTTGTCTTTCAAGTGTAATGAAGTTAAAGTAAAAAGTTTCCAGAGAAAATAACACTCAAGTAAAGTACAGTCCTCAAGTAAATGTGTAAGGGTTAGCCGTGCGCGACGAGGTGTCCACTGTCAGGTGTTAATGCCCGACGGCGTGGCGTGAACCGTCCGAGTCCATTAATATCTAGACAATGGACACCTCGAAGGGCATTAACCCGCTTATACCATGGTCACTTGCCAAATAACACATTTTTAAAACATTAGTTTATATTTTAATTCGTTTTACAATCGAAATCTAAAGTTTTTATAAACAATAACTTGGTTTCCCTGGTTACGCCTGACATAGTTACACCTGAGATATTTATAGTCCGCTCTGCTCGTAGAACCCTTCAGTTTAGCTAACTTACGAGCCAGAAAGTTTACGTATTTTCACAGTTTATTAATTAATTTTGAACGGTAAACAGTCAGTTTCACCAAAACTCCTTTACTAGGTGTCCTCTATCACTTTTTAACGGACACTCTGCAGCCAATCAGAATCGAGTATTCACCCAGACCATGGTATAAACTTTGTTACTGTCCACCTCTGCATTACACGCATGTGCTGTGTTTCCTGAACACATGTCATAAGGTGTTGTGTTTCTAACGCTCTCCTGCAGTATGACGCCATCAGGGTGAACCAGCTCTACGAACAGGCCAAGTGGGCCATCTTACTGGAGGAAATCGAGTGCACCGAGGAAGAGATGATGATGTTCGCCGCGCTCCAGGTATGTGCACGTCACAGCCATGGCAGAATTGATGTGAACGCGCCGTCTGTTAGGATTGCTGTGTAAGCCCTGCGTTTGACGGTCTGCAGTCTTCACTCGGGTCCTCTCGCCCCGGTAATGGATTGGATGGGCTCTGTGCCTGCGGTGTGCAAACGTTTGGCTTTGGCCAACGATGACCCTGCTATTTCAGACCCTCGTAAATGTTGAGTGACAACACCTCAGGACGCCTCACTGTCTTCACATCATATAAATATAGAGTGGGCTAGCGTCTGTTTCGGGGAGGTGGGACATGGGAGACCACCCGGAGTCTGATGTACTAAGGAGGTGTTGGTTTCTCCAGCAGGGATTTCTGGTGGTGTTGATTTTCTCTGTTTACGTACCATGAGTTTAAATTAGTCAGATCTGTCCCTCCGCATCAGTCCACGTTGTGTCAGTGGATATGACAGGGTGTCCGGCGGGGTCTTACAAAAGCAGTTGATAAATGAATATAGAGAAAATTAAGGCCCTTAAAAAGTATTAATTTCCAAGGTATTAAAGATGCTTTGCTGTAAAATTTAGGAGGATCTGTTGACAGAAATGCAATATCCTATACATAACTATGCGTAAAGACCTTACTTAATGAACTGTTATGTATTTATTACCTTAGAATTAGCCATTTCTGTCCACTTACATCAACTTATTTCTACGGTGGCCCTAAACGGACAAACGTGTTTCGTCACGATGTTGTTTTATCGTGCAAAAGAAGCTATAGCTAAAGTCAGCGAATAAAACACTTACACAGTGATGAATATGTAACAATAATATTCACAATTACGTATAATTTTACTGAATAAGTAAGTAAACCTAATTTCTTAATTTATCTTTTCCTGTCGGCCACCATAACTTCTGTTGGTTGCAATTCACAACCTCACCACTAGATGCCGGTAAAAATTACACACTGCACCTTTAAATGTTTTGCTTTGTTCCCACTCTTCTGAATCATGTTGCATTAATAAGGAATTATCACAAACTAAGACTGTTTAGTTGTGCTATTTTACAATCAATATATAGTGAATGTAAGTTAAAGTGTCGCCGATATAATTGGTTAAAATTTGAAGTCTTAAAATGAGTGGAAACTTTGAAAGAGTCTTAAAAGGCATTACGTTTAACTCCATGATTCCTGTATGTACCCTGTATGAGGTTGGCTGGTGGTCCGTGTCTCTGGGTAGAAGAGCTCGTCAACATCAAACATCAGCAGGTCTAAGTTTAGCCAGCGTTATAGCGAGTCTGTTAGCTGTTGAGAGAAGTAGGCATGTCATTCATTTACTAACCACTCTTATCCGAGCAGAGAAATGGTGACATTAAAATGCCTTCCGGCCTCCATTTTGAAAGTGGCGCTGTCATCAGCAAACGTTCGACGTATCAGTGAAATGTGCTTCTGTGGTCCAGCTGTTCACTGTAGTAACATGGGGATCGTTTACCGCTAATTTTAATCAGAAGAAAGAAGTCTCAGGCTTTAAGCTCGTAGTGGAAATGAAAAAAATAACTAAAACTGTGATAAAAAATAAATTAAACCTAAATAGCAATATTTACAAATGACAAATGCACATAATACAATGACAAAAGCACACTGTGAAAACTTAATATATATATATATATATATATATATAAAGCGAATCCAAAATCTAAATAAAACTATAATAAATTAAAACATTTGCAATTTTTGCAGCATGTGTGAAAACTATTTAAAATCAAATCATGAACATTTGGGAAAAATAATTAAATAAATAAAACATTTCACAAATGCATACGATTAAAAATCTAAATAATATTTGGACGTTTAACATGAACATTTTAGTGACAAATTAACTTGTATTTAATTGGAAAAATGCAAAATGGAAAAGGGCTTATTATTTGTTCAGTAAATATTGTATTAGCCGTTTATTTGTCCATTTATTTTAAAGGCGTTGCAGTGATTGCAGGCCTGACATTCAGGACATTGTGAATGCAGTTTAAAACCAATTCATGAAAATGCTGAAAATAAATTTTCAGAAATTCACAAACACAAAAGTGCTTTAACTTTAAACATGTACAAAATTGCATTAACCAGTTCAGTTGTAAGTGAGAATGCTAGATGTTGGAGAGGGTTAAAGGTACTCTATAACAACTTTTTTGTCCAAAATTGATATAATGAATGAGTATATTATGAACTCAGTCTTTTTGTCTCAGAGAGTTCTTGTTCTTTCGCGAGACTCATGCAGTTTTGTTTATTTACCACTAGAGTTGCATAAAATTCCTTTATCTGTCAAACATTTTTATTAGATTGTCCTGGACTTAATGCAAGCAGAAGGCTCTTTTATGAAGTTACTTCTTTGAAGGACATATTTAATGAGATTATGCCTTAAAAAGGTTCTGGATTTTTTTATCATATGTTAATTTAAAAAAAAATATATTGTATAATATGACTTCTTGTTTATATTTGTTTTGTTTTTGTTGTATTTATATGATGTTTGTATTTTTGTAAATGAATTTTTGCCATGAAAATAGCTCTGACTGCTGACATGGCATGAAATAAAATAATCTGAATCCGAATCTAGAGTTGCATAGCATACTTTTCAATATTGCAATAAATAATTTGCAATGTGATGAGGTAATAAATGGCAAGATTGTGTTTATTTAGATTTGTGTTTTTCTTTGCAGTACCACATCAACAAGCTGTCCATCATGTCCTCAGACAATCACATGAACAACAGTGAGAAGGAGGTGGACGAGGTTGATGCCGCTCTCTCGGACCTGGAGATCACCTTAGAGGGAGGAAAGACGTCCAACACGCTGGTACTGACGCGGAGCAATAGCCGCTTTTTTTATACAGCAGCACTATTAAAACAACACAAGTGCTTTGCAATATCACAGATCAAACGCTAGGGCTGTCGCTTCCGCCCGATTTTTGAGTCACAAGTGTTCATTGAATCGATTTTCCATCTAAAGACGTTTCCATTTTCAACACCAAATACAGGCAAATCCACGGACACCTAACAGGCGTTAGGACGAGCGTAACGAGGGCGCTTGAGTCAGCAATATTTCTGATGATTTATTGCCGTGAAGTTTCAGCACAATGACAAACAGGAGCGCAACATTCAGGGATTGAGATGAACACTCGACTCGCCAAATGTAGGAAAAATGAATTTTGGCGGGAAACGCTGTCCAATCACGAGCCAATCTGGTGTTTCTATATTTACTCACTTTGCTAGGAAGTTCGTTTAAGACAAATCTGAGCGGCTTTAGTGCAAATACGCAACTCGTGATCCTCATGATATATTAAATACAGCGTATCGCAGAATCTGTGCTTTTCTGGCTTACTTGAACACACACACGTCACTACGCAGCAAATAACTGTGCGCTTGTTCACTCGCATTGAAGTAATAGCGAATATTAAAAAGCATTTGGTGAACAGAAAAGATATTGTTATTTTCCAGCATCCGACATGTTCTGTGTGCTGTATTGATCTGTCCACCTAACACACATTTTTCACATAAATCGATTTACATACCACTTCTTTTTGTGAAAGAAACACAAATACAAATAACGTATCACATTTATTACAAGTAAAGGCTGCATAAATAATGCCCTTTCATGCACTTGCTTTACTTTCTAATATAGTCTCTAAGTATTCGATCAAATTCGAATAAAGGAATATGAAATAGAGTCATGTGCTCCGTGTTTGAATGTAGTGATTGGATAGCATTATATTGCTGATGAAATTGAAATTTAATCATAACAGACATTTACGCAACAACAAAACAATGTATTAAAATGGTGTATTGTGATTATTTTTCTGCTGTTACCTTGCAGCTGTTCTGTGGTTCATTGCAATAAGTGATCTATTTATTTATAACTTTATTTTTTATTTTTTTATTGACAAACTTCAACTTACATCAAATTGGAATATAAGTACAGTAAAGATAAAAAACAAACAAACAAAAAAAAAACTGAGGAAGTAACTTAAATTACATATAATGCACTTTGTGTTCTCAGGGTGACATCACATCCATTCCTGAACTGGCCGACCATGTAAAAGTCTTCAAGTGAGTTCTTGTACTTCAGAACGTTCTTGTATTTTGTTGAAGGACACGTTTTTATTTTAGTTTTTTTTAGCTAACGGTCTTTGATTTAAAGAGAAATTGTCGAAGAGTTGATCTTTTCTTTCAACAGAACAGAAAAACCTCTCATGGAAGTCATTCCCCTTTGATTTCTGACTAACGTTTGCTTGTACCTCAGACCAAAGAAACTCACTCTGAAAGGATACAAGCAGTACTGGTGCACGTTCAAGGACATCACCATCTCCTGCTATAAGAGCCGCGAGGAGGCGCACGGCACGCCAGCGCTCCAGATGAACCTGAGAGGTGAACCCCACACACACACACACACACATGATGCACCGTTAGAAAGCATGTTTGCCACTTATGCACTGTTTCTCATCCGCTGTTTCTCTGTAGGCTGCGAAGTCACACCAGATGTGAACATCTCTGCTCAGAAATTCAACATCAAGTTGCTAATTCCTGTAGCAGATGGTATGAATGAGATCTGGCTGCGGTGTGACATTGTGAGTGAGATGCTTTTCTATTGAATGCCATACATTATTGTACAGTAAATCACCTCACATCTTCACTGGTCTTTAAAAAGTAAAACATTGCTCTTATTTATGCAAAATGTGACCCCAACACCCCTAAGCAGGCTTTCAATAAAGCCATTAACAAACATTTGTGTTAGTTGAAATATGAAAAACATTAACGGAAATATAACTTAAAACGTATTTTTATTTCAGCTAGTCGCCTAAAGGCTGCAATACACTACAGATTTGTGCCCCGATTTGCAGTCTGGATGAGTCGAAAATAGTTGCCGAAAATCTGTTGATTTTGATATCTGTGATATTTTGATTTTGGATGAAAACATTTTTTTCTGGTCAGTCGAAGTTGACATCGCGTGGTGTGTGATGGGCACAGACTCACCAGTTGGAGGATATCAAAACATGCTTGATGTGTTGAGACAAATTTAGAGCGGATATCATAGTGCATGACGTATATCATATCGAGATCACGATTAAAATAGTCAATCATTTCATCTCTTAAACCTCATCTTTAATCACCAAAATTACAGATTTAAAAGTTTTTCCTTTGGAAAAAAAATTCTTCATGCCTTAAAATATCTTGAATGTAACTCGACACCCTTGCATAATTTAATATGTGGTTCTATGAATATGCAAATGAGCCCCACCTCCACTCACTCACTCAGAGATCCATTGGTTGACGATCACATGTTGATCTGATTGGTTACAAGGTCGTTTGTGACGTCAGAAACACCAGCGATTTCACACCGTGTGTTTGAGACTGTCTTTGGTTCACCGCAGTTTTATGGAGGAATGCTGTCCACTTATCAACTTACACATGTTTGTCTTAAAGCAAATTAAAAACACCACATAGACGCATAAATTTTTTTTTCGCTGTGGTCTCAGGAGAAGCAGTACGCTCAGTGGATGGCAGCGTGTCGTTTGGCCTCTAAGGGGAAGACGATGGCTGATAGTTCCTACAACCTGGAGGTCCAGAACATCCTGTCCTTCCTGAAGATGCAGCACATGAATCCTGATCCTCAGATCATAGAGCCCATCACCACCGACATCAACCCTGAGTGTCTGGTGTCTCCACGATACCTGAAGAAATACAAGAACAAGCAGGTGAGGAAGAGGCTGAGGCTTCGAGAGAGATTACCACTGCAGTGCAGAACACACAGAGACAACTAAAGGCAGACTGTACATAACCACACATAAAAGGGGTGTAAAGATTCATGTATTCGTCCCGAACCGTCAGACGACGAATACAGTCACAGGCGATCCACTCTCCAGTCCAGAAGGGGGCGCACGCTGATGCAACAACTGGAAAGAAGTAGAGATGATCCATTCCCAAACCCAAAACAAGAGCTTGCTAGCCTATTTTTTGCACAAATGAGGTCAAAATATGTTTCGTCCTAACCAGCCGCTAGTGTGACACGCGACGAATCAACATCAAATGAACAACAACAGAAAGTATGATAATCTCAGGTACTGTTTATGTGCTTTATGTAATATTAAAAGTGTCCGAGTGAGTTTGAATATCATTTGTGTGTATTTTATAGCCGTACTGAAAGCAGCTCGCCTCAGATCTTCAAAATAAATAAAAGAGAACAAGAACGTTCAAACTGTCAACAAACAAGTGTATTCTATGACAACGATTGTTTCAGTAACTCATTATTATGTTTTTTAATAAGGTTAAAATGGTGTAATATTCATGAATTTGATCATCCATTTCGTTGCGAGTGCCGGGAGCTTGCCGCGCTCTCTTCTGATTGGCTGTGATTTTTATCGCGTCCCATAGTCTGGTGTGGACACACAAATTACTTTATCGGGAATCACGTAAATGTACCGAACTCGTACCCAAAACCGTGATGCGCACCGAATCATTTTACATTTACATTCATGCATTTGGCAGATGCTTTTATCCTTCATTTCAAGGAACACATTTACATTCTTATCAGTTCTTGCTTTCTCTGGGAATCGAGCCCATGACATTGGCGTTGCAAGCGGCAAAACTCTACTGTTTACACACGAATCATGATTTCTGTGTACCATTACTCCCCTAATACAGAGTAATAAACAGCAGTATATTAAATATTAAATATTTCACTGAGCCCTAAATAGGAATGTTTTTTTTTTTTTTTTACACATGAAATCAAAATAATCTAGTTTTTCTAAATGTATGAGCTAAACACGAGAGTTTTGCATGGGTTACATTTTTCAAAATAATGTTTTTTGGTTATACTTGATTGAAAAACAAGAGAAAAGTGTAAGTATGCAGGGAGTGTGTGTGTGTGGGAGTCCTCAGACTGTGGTCCTGTGTGCCGCTGGTGTCGTCTTACAGTGGCCCTGGACTCAGTCCAGCCGCTGTGATGCTGGGGGATGGTGGGCTTCCCGTCCTCGTCTCGCTCGCTCCCCCCACCAGTGGAAAGCTGCGAGAAAGTTTGAGGAGTCGGGGTGGGGTCTTCAGAAACAGGCGGGAAGGACATACAGGAAACGAGCCATGCCTGGGAATGTGGAGAGGGAGTCTGGGAAGAAGAGTGCTATGTGATCGCAAGTTCAGATGTGTCCTGATCACAGCATTACAACCTCCGATTCTTTTCTTCAAAGGCTTCCTCTGGGATTTCACTCCCAGATCACGTGGCATATAAAGCACTTGCTTTTCGGAAACGAGGATAGATGACTTTCTCACTTCCCGACTTGTTTAACTTATGAAGACCAACAAAGCGGATGTAGTCATCCAAATGGTGGGGAATTTCAGAGGTCTCTCCAATAGTATTGGGTTTTAAGTGTGTGTGTGGCGCCGCCTTGTGGGGTCAAGGGTGTGTGGTTTGATGTGGGATAAGAATTGTTCAGGTTAATCATAAACTATAGCTCAGACATGAACTTTGGACCCATTTTATATCTTTTAAATCCTGTTTCTAGACTTTTAAAAGTGAATCAATTTACAAAACATTTATTTATGTATATTTCATTATTTGTTTAAGTTTATATCTTTTTATTTGGAGCTTAAAGAACAAATCAAGAGATAAGGTTTTTACTCAGAGAAAATCAGATAGACAAAAACAAACTCAATAAAATAATACCATATTAGACTACTTTAGACACCATTGGACTGCTAAGAAACTTCTTAAAAAAATAACATTAGACCTCTAAAAAGTGATTTATTTATTTATTTATTTTTGACTAATGAAAGTTCATGGAGATTTGGGACCGTTTGGAAGTCCACTAGAATTTAGAAAATTCGTATTGTCAACCCAACATAATAAACCATAAGATGAATCAGTCTTAAGATCAGCTTAAACTTAGATTTCCCATGATAATCAGTAAAGATGAATCTACACCATGATCGGCCAACCACCACAGAGTGTGTGCCGTAGACTAGTCTTCTGCTTGGTTCAGGGGTATAGCAGGATCTCTCAGGTTAGTTGTAATTTTTCTGCGGTCGATTCGCTTGGACCTAATGTGTTCCTCTGCTCTCTCCTGCCTAAAGTGAACCTCTCCTGCTGTATACCGATTATGTGCACCCTGCCCTCTTCTCTCTTTGTGCATTAACGGTTGTTTTGATTCTGTTATTCTGCTTGTTTGCTGCATTGTTCATTTATTTGCTTTTCCCTTGTTTCCTCTCTGTGTCCCTCCTCCTGTTTCCACCCTCCTCAGCCTGGCTTTGTCAGGGACTTGGTAAGTCAGTCGTTTGACAGCTGGTAAATGTCCGTGACTCACTAACACTGGTGCTGTCTCATTTCCGTAATCCTTCTCTTAACCACTTTACCATTTATTGCTGTAGCTCAAACTCATAAACTCGTGTTTAACGTTTTTTAAATTATTATTGTTTTGAGTCACTGGTGTCTCCCTATGAACAGCTGTTTGCCTGAATGATGTTGAGTGAATGAATGCTGTAAATGCTCAAATAATGTATTAGCACTTATTTCATGGATATTTTAAATATTCTAATGAATATAGAAGCAACTTGTAGTCTTTTGAGAATTTGAGGTTTAAAATGTCAGATTAGATTGTAAGACTGTCAGCCTTGATCATTACTTATCCCTAAATATAATCATATTGTTATTATTACTATCATTATTATTACAATTATTGTTTTATTTATTTAGATGACACAATGCCTTTTCCTGGAGCACCTAAAGGGACATGGTGACGGGGAAAAAAAAAGAGATGGGATAAAAATTATATGAAAATATTTTTTTGATAGAACGCAAAGTTTCTTGGGGGAATTAAATAGTTTTGCATGACAATGTAAAGTTTCTTGGGGAAACAATAGTTTCATGAGCGAATGTAAAGTTTCTTGGGGAAACGCAATAGTTTTGCGTGAGAATGTAAAGTTTCTTGGGGAAACGCAATAGTTTTGCATGAGAATGTAAAGTTTCTTGGGGGAATTAAATAGTTTTGCGTGAGAATGTAACGTTTCTTGGGGAAACGCAATAGTTTTGCGTGACAATGTAAAGTTTCTTGGGGAAACGCAATAGTTTTGTGTAAGGATGTAAAGTTTCTGGGGGAAACGCAATAGTTTTGCGTAAGGATGTAAAGTTTCTTGGGGAAACGCAATAGTTTTGCTTTAGAATGTAACATTTCTTGGGGAAACGCAATAGTTTTGCGTAAGGATGTAAAGTTTCTTGGGGAAACGTAATAGTTTTGCGTGAGAATGCAAAGTTTCTTGGGGAAACGCAATAGTTTTGCGTGACAATGTAAAGTTTCTTGGGGAAACGCAATAGTTTTGCATTAGAATGTAAAGTTTCTTGGGGAAACACAATAGTTTTGCGTAAGGATGTAAAGTTTCTTGGGGAAACGCTGTAGTTTTGCATGACAATTTAATGTTTCTTGGGGAAATGCAATAGTTTTGCATGACAATGTAAAGTTTCTTGGGGAAACGCAATAGTTTTGCATAAGGATGTAAAGTTTCTTGGGGAAACGCAATAGTTTTGCGTGACAATGTAAAGTTTCTTGGGGAAACTCAATAGTTTTTGCATAAGGATGTAAAGTTTCTTGGGGAAACAACAGTTTTGCATAAGGATGTAAAGTTTCTTGGGGAAACGCAATAGTTTTGTGTAAGGATGTAAAGTTTCTTGGGAAAACAATAGTTTTGCGTGACAATGTAAAGTTTCTTGGGGAAACGCAATAGTTTTGCGTGACAATGTAAAGTTTCTTGGGGAAACACCATCGTTTTGCGCAAGGATGTAAAGTTTCTTGGGGAAACACAATAGTTTTGCGTAAGGATGTAAAGTTTCTTGGGGAAACGCTGTAGTTTTGTATGACAATTTAATGTTTCTTGGGGAAATACAATAG